TCCTGGACCAGCTCCCACTCCCCTATTGGGCTGCCTATACCCAGACAGCAACGCGGCATCACTATAGTTTATACAGACAGATGTTAAAGCTCCAAGGGGCCAATAGGAAGAGAGCATGTGATTCGGCCGCGAGTCACGTGGTACGCTTAACGGTCATGTGATCAAGTAAAGGGTAGAGCCTGTCATCACAACCACAGCGGGTCAATTCCAGGTCCCTGTCCTATACTTGAGACATTGCCATCTCCCCTCTTCCCATATTGCACTACATGTTGCCACTTTGACAGCAAGTTAAACACAGCTCAAACTCTCAGCCCCCCTCTCGTTTTATTTCCGCTGCTCAGCCCGCACAAAAACTTGTCTCCCACTCGACTGAAGACCTGATCTGTTGCTGGTGACTTTACAAGTCTACCTCTTGTGGGAAGATTTTAGTTCCTTTTCAAATGTTTCCAAACGTGGTCTCTCGTCAACCTTAAATTCTGCTTGTTTTGAGAGCGGAACGTTTAGCTAGCTGCCAGGAAGTTTAACGACCTCTGTAACACAAATTTTTGTTTATTTAACGAGTTTGTGGTTCAATGCTAGTTATGTTTTAAAATGTTTGATGATGGACAATGTGTGATGCACTGACGCCATTGTTGATACTTTACTCCTTTGTAAATATCCCTGATGATAAGGATGGAACTTCGTTAGTCAGCGACTAATTCGCCGTGAATGATTGATAATCGCTATACATCGCAGTTTCTGCTTAATTCTGTAGAGCCTGGCTGGCGATATTTGATCACTCAAACTCATTAGTAAAACTATTCTAAGCCTGATTTAGTTTATATTTTTGATAAAAGTTCAAATAGCAATGAAGTTGATTTTAGACCCTTTTTTGCTGTCTGCATGATCGATATAGTAACTGCAAAGTCTGCTTGCTACAATTTGCTGCGACACCAGAAAAGTCTTGAGGGGCACGTTTTTTCTATTATAGCACCTCGCAAACCAGACTGAAGCAATCGTTTATCTACAACCTATGCAAGAACTCTAGCTGAACTCTGGCAATGCTCAATTTGAAGTGACCACAAAACGAACCCGTAACATATCACTGTCGTCCCATTTACCAGCTCGCTTAACCATAACTGGTCTTTGATTTCGCCGACCCTAATTCAGCGTTCCAGGCCAATGAGACAGGTCTGACCGAAGATTGTGGGGCGATAAGACGTTCTTATGTTAAACAGTTAACATTGCTAGCCACAGATGATTAGTTCAACCGTTACACTCGCGGCTTGTTCTGAAACTTCATCATTATTTCAAATGAGGCTATACATGTTTAGAAAACGTGATTTTGACATCGTAAAAGGATCTTGTCAAGACGAGAATTTTTTTTACCCGCCTTTTTTACCTGGTAGCAGACTACAGCATCGGTTTTTTAGTTTTTATGATTTCGATCCTATTATTATCGTTTTAAGAATTTTACTTTCACAAAAGTTTCAATGTATTCAGTTTTCTTTACACACCAGTTTAAAAATGAGTAGTGGTTTTATTAATTTAATTTCACGTCCTAAATATCCTAGAATTGAAACTTTCGGCCACCTACACTGAATAATTTTGAAATTCAATTGTCTGTTTTAGCCTTTGGTGACCATTGTTGTCATTCAAGATATCATTATCAATCGGTTACAACGAACAAGTGTGAAATTGCATTCCTTCATTTCTGTTCCACCCTTTATTGGTGGTTGTCCATAATTGGTAACCTCAAAGTGTCCGCCCTCACATTTCTGCTCGAGACGCGACGTCCGACGTTCATTTTAAGATAGACACTGTTTTGGAGACGTTTGTACGTACACCATCGTACTTTAACTGATGAAAATGAGTTGAAAGGGTGCCATACCTCAAAGAAGAGTTATTGCTAACAGAGTACCCTTGAAGCGCCGACCCTAGCAGCTGGGCCAGGGCCCTTGAAGAGCCGGTCTTAGCAGCTCACCTCTTATTTGAAGGGATCCCCCCGTACACTCCCCGTGATTTGAATACTGCAGTCTCATTGGTCCGCTAGTTTGATTGTTGATCCCTCACGACGGTCCGTAATTTTGCTTGTAAACCGTCTGATCCCACACTTTTGAGTATCTGTTGACATTTCACCGCAACATTCCTGCATCAGCTAGGAACAGGATCGCTTTTTTCAACTGCTTCCCCTCTTTTTCCTGTAATCTTTTGCTGATTATTCAATTTTCATACTTGATTACGACCTAGACGCGGATTTCTTTGCACGGTAGACACACTTTGTAGCTTTGAGTCATTTAATTTCACCTCACTTCAGTAGCTCGGTACTCTAATCGACCTCACTTACACACCTTGGTACATTCTGACCTCATCCCCTCGACAGCACGCTCTGCTGTGCAGTGAAACAGTTTCACCCTTAATTTCATCTAACTTTCGATTGTCTTCAGTTTAATTTGCCGTGGTGGCAATCAAAAATGTTACTTAACATTTTCATAATTAGCTTGAGGAACATTGTCACGAACGTATAGGTCGTTGTCTAGCAGTCTCGTCCTAAATGTCTAGTCTATTATATCTCACCTTTCGGCTGAAGCTGTGAAACGGAGTTGCGACATTTTTAGTGGACGTGACTGAAGTTTCATTTACTTGACATCTTCACTATTCAAGCTCAAAACATTAAAATTATAACATTTCACAAAACTTTTAAAAATAATAACGGATTTCCCGGGCAACTGATCTAAAAACTAAAAGTAAACGAATCCAGAAAATCTTTAATTGTATAATAACAAGTGAATACTAAAAAGTTGCGTATTTGAGAGGGTCACGCACACGGCGATTAGTTAATCAGCTATAGGTTCTATCCGATAGAACTCATTTTCAGTTTAAGGGATCATGAGTCGTCGCCAAGGAATCGTGATTCATTCAGCATAAAATTAAACACTACTTTTATCCGTTTAGTATAATATTCACGATGCCTTCTCTGCAATTTTCAATTCTAGTTCCATCCGGAATCAGTCATTCGCAGTCTCTGTCTATAATTCTTTTACATTAATTCTCTATAATCCTTTCACATCTACTGTCGATTAAAACCAGTTTTGGTGAACCAATTAGATCTAATTATTAACCGACGAATTGAACTGGGTAAGCGAGATCTAATCCTCCAACCTATAAAGAGGATTTCTCTTGGTCTGCTTGTAATTGTATAGCTGTGCTTTGTAGTCTAGGAGGGTAGCACCCCGGGCCCCGGGCCCTGCATATACTCCTTGAGAAATGTGAGGTGAGAATTGTGGACTGTTATATTTGTACTACCTCATATGAAACGTAATGTAATGTCCGTTCCTCTGTATGATTTCATTCGCTCTCATTCTCACTCGTGGATAGGTTCAAATTTCCAACAAATTAGTTCAGAGATCCGTCAATTCGTAAGCACTACATTACATTTAATGATGTTTTGTTCCATCGTTGTTTCGCAAGATTGGGCTCAGGTAGTCGCGTAACAGTTTCCAAACCTTGGTGTTTCAATCCGCCATGGAGAAGAAAACTTGGAATTTTAAAGCACGTCAAAAATAAAATACATTTATCATATTAGAAGCTTGCAAATGTATTAGAAAAATGTTAAATTAATGATGTCACGCTTTTCGTGCTACGTTTCCGAAGAACGAGTCTTTAACTTTTCAGTTTAACTTATTTTCTTGTCGGTTTAAATTACGTTTTAAGGCTTGGATCATGGAGATGGGTCTGGCTTAATGTAAGGGTAAGGAAAAGGGGCTTACTGTATTTGTCGGGTTAAGACTAAGGGATGGGTTTAGATGAAAACTATAAACTGTAACATTCCGGAGTTTAAACCGGATGTCATAAGTCGGGATATAAACTGCGTGGGTAAAAAGTTTTGTATCCCATGTGAAACAAGGTTTCTAAGTTTCTATGGCCTACTATATTTGATCTACTACCTGCAGCTATAAATAGGTGACCCAGGCTTTCCCTCGTACAACTTTAAGTGAAGCTTGCATTTTCAACAAATATTTGACCGCCGTTGTAGTCATCTGTTCCGTCTACTAAAATATTTGTCTTGTGTACAAATGGCGGGAAAGTGACAAAATTAATGGTCACTAATGAATTTGATCAAGGATATGAGCGTACACGTGCACGCACTGCAGGAACGTTCATTTTAGTTATTAATTTGGAATTTAACATTCCTAAAATATGAGCAATTTATTGTACGACACATTTCTATTCGTGGTATCGCTTCAACTTTAGTCCGTGCAAAGAATGTCTTATAGTAATTGATGCTTTCCTTACTAAATGCTAATCATGTATTTTTGTATCCTTTATTATCAGTTTGACGGAAAATCATTAGTTCATAGTTAGTGATTGTCAAAGTCATGAATTGTTTTAAATTCGTAATGTATTTATCTTATGAAAATGTCTTTACCAAGATTTAGTTATTAATTTATTCATTAGTTTATTTATCAACCGATTTACTAAAGCAATCCTGGGAGACATTTTTATGTTTTAAAATAAATTCGTTGCATTGCTAAAAAGCATTAGATTGACATATTATATCTGCGAACGTGGCTACTAAATGTTTGAGTGTTTGATATAATAATTTCTCTGATATCAAATGCTAATTAGGTTTGTTCATTATTTTAGTTTGGTTTGGAACGTAACTTTTATTTAGGAATTACTGTTGTTCATCGTACTTTTCTTTTATATTAATTTAGGAAGGCAGTAGAAGGAAACAATCGAACAATCATTTGCAATGCAAGAAAAAAATACAACATCATTTAAAATTACAATTCCGTGTTACAGCTATCTCGCGAAACCTAATTCACTGTCATTATAATCAAGGTTGCAAGTGGGAAAAACTCCAAGAAAATAAAATCTCCGCGAATATTTTGCTAACAGATATCAGTGCTGATATAGAGTATAGTAGTTTAAAACAAGATAGTCTGAGAGCAGGTAGCTAAAAGAGAGCCGATAGCTAAAAGAAATTGCATCCAGTGCAAATATCTTACTAAAAAATGTAAAACTACAACTTATATTGAATCAATCTGAACATGCAGCGATTTGGCTCCAAGATGCACCGTTACTATGATCCTTTATGCGCCATTTCTGGACCAATCTTCGCTGTCTTCCATAGCACCACTTCTGGACCAATCTTCGCTGTCTTTCATGGCACCATTTCTTGACCAATCTTCTTTGTCTTTCATGGCACCATTTCTTGACCAATCTTCGCTGTCTTCCATGGCATTATTTCTTGACCAATCTTCGTTGTCTTTCATGGCACCATTTCTTGACCAATCTTCGCTGTCTTCCATCGCACCATTTCTGGACCAATCTTCGTTGTCTTTCATGGCACCATTTCTTGACCAATCTACGTTGTCTTTCATGGCACCATTTCTTGACCAATCTTCGCTGCCTTCCATCGCACCATTTCTGGACCAATCTTCGCTGTCTTCCATGGCACCATTTCTGGACCAATCTTCGCTGTCTTCCATGGCACCATTTCTGGACCAATCTTCGCTGTCTTCCATGGCACCATTTCTTGACCAATCTTCGTTGTCTTCCATGGCACCATTTCTGGACCAATCTTCGCTGTCTTCCATAGCCCCATTTCTGGACCACTCCTCATTATTTTTAAGGATCGTTGATTCGTCTTCAGTCAAGTTAATGACTCTCCCACACGCCGCTATCAGAAGGAAGGTTATCAAAAGGACTGTCTTCATGGCGGAGCTCAACAATGTCTGCAATCTCAACCTGAACAATTAGCAATGGTAAACTTGGGATATTGATATGACGGAGTAGTGCAGCTTATAAACTTATAAACAAATCAGCTGTCTGCTGTGCACATAATTGGATGCTAATTGGCAGTCTTTATACTAAGGTTATTGGGAGTACGGGGCCATTAAAAGAGTCAGCTAGTTGGGGGATTGGGAAAGTGCAGTTATGCTTGCTTAGATGGCCATACCACCAGGAAATGTTTTCTACTTAAGATATGGGGGTAGAGTCTGGTGGGGTTATATGAAGGATGACGGCGATGACGGTCACTTACATAGTTAAGGTTTCATACAACTTCCGGACATTATGGTTCACTTCTACGTCAATCTACGATCCCTTTGGTTTGAAATTTGATTTGGCTGTACATCAATGACAGAATTTTCTTGTGGTCTACTTCTTGTCACCATAATAAGAATGACAAAAGTGAAGTTGCCAGCATGTCCTCCAAATTCTTGCAAAGTGAATTATTCAAGTGGTACCAGTGCTTGGAAGGCTCAACACTTGACTGGAAATTGCCTGAATTTGAGTTCACTTCACTAAAATGTGTTTGATACGATATTTGTCGTGGGAACAATTTTAAAACTATTCCATGGAATTTTAAAACAATTCTTAGCCTGGATACTGCAATGAGATGCAAAGAGTCTGTATATTTGCCGCCCTACACGACTGGCTATTTTCAAATCTTTTGAAATTGATTAATGTACATGACTGCCATCTTATCTTTTTAATCCTAAGCACTAAACGCCAGCCGCGAAAAGCCATGACCCCTAAATTTCATCAGAATCTATTTGCTTTTAGCAGTCGTGGCCGTAGTATAACTAGGTATTTGAGTATGGGCGGAGCATCAAACTACAATTTCCTGTCATCGGGATAAATAAGGGCTAAAGACTGGTGCTTGCCAAATGATGATACAACTTTAAAGTCTGAAGAGTTGGATAGACTGAACTTTGAGCTGGCTAACCCTGTTAGATCAGGATGTTTAATGTGCGGGCAGCATTGCACAATAATAAAATACCATTTATACTATCATTGTGTTCGTGTTTATGATGTAATCCCCTTTTCAGGTCCGTAAATATAAAGGCTGATGCCTAAGTGGAAAATTCTTTCTCAAAGATAAACCAAGTGGTTCCAGTATTGTATCAGGACGATATGATATATTAGGGACGGGCGATAAATTTGTCAACTGAAATTAAATCTAAACGTGAAATACTGTGTTTTAGCCTTTTGCGGCCGATCATGACTTCCTAATTTAAAAAATCGATTAATCAATAAAATTTACACGGCCATTTCAATCTCGATGACTGGCTAGCTGGAACTGTATGGGTGGGGCATTAAACTACAGTATCCTGTCAGCAGGCTAAGTACCGGTGCTTGGTGGGTACCCGGCCGGGTAACTGTCAGTACTAACGGTATAAAGAGGACAGAAGCTGTGAGAAACCTCAGTGAACGTTGTGATTTGTGAGTTCACCCCCGCACTTTGTTTTACAATCGTTGATGTTACAAGTACTATCAACCCGGACTAGGCTATTATAGATTCCGGGATTTATAGCTTCCAGAATCCAGGGCCTGCAGTGAGAAATTTATCTGGTCCAATTTTGTTGAACTTCTTTTACGATGATTGATATGAAAACGACCCGAGCTAGGATATAGTTTGGATTCATCACATCGGAATAAATGTAGTAGTGCAACGGTTCTTGTGGGGATTATATCTTGGGTGGGGCAAGAGAATATCCAGATTTATGGAGCAACATAGCGTCTGGTGCAGTCAATGGGCTAAGGACAAACTGCCAACCTACCTGTAGCAATATGTCTTCCAGCTACCACGATCCCGTAAAACGATTAAACTATCAGCTACGCTACTAAGGTGGGTGTGAGCAACTAGTGCCCACTAAATAATTTCTTATTTCCCCACACTCGCCTTTACACCTATACGTGTTTATTGTACCTGCTGTGCGCAAACTTTCACCTATGTTTCAACTTTTTTTTTATTGAACTACTGTGCTTAAAATTCCACCTACGTTATGAATTTATACGTCATTCCTTCGATCCCTTTCAAAAGAATATCTGGCATGCAGTACTCCGCATGCATTCCTCCACCAATTATTCAATTATCATACCTTCACCGGCAAATCTGAAATCTGTCAACTATAAGTGAAGCATCGACCAAGTTTCGTTGTAAAGCTGTCTCAGTTGTGCGTCATGACTGATGAATAGGGTGGCAGTTCAGCTGAAATTGGTATACTTATTGGAGTGGTGGGCACGGGTTGTCGTGAGGAGAACACTTTCTAGAGTCTACAAGCGGGCGATGTCCGGTGTTTCATTCCTGTTGTGGACTAATTTTGCTGGTCGGACGTCTTATTTGCTTAGAAGTGGAAGTAGTTTTCTTCTTAAAGGCTGACACATTTGTTACAATACCATATTATGTAATTAGAAAATGAGTTAGGTACTTGTTACTGAAGTTTCATAGAAAACGTTTCTTAATTTACCAGTTGGAAACACTTTCAAGCACGCCCTGTTCACAACATCAATATCCTACTTCCACCCATCATATGAGTAATAACCACCAACTACCGGCTGTGTTTCAAATCCATCAGGTCCTTCATTAAAATGTTTAACAATCATTTCTTTTCAATTTTGTTGATTGAACTTGAGGGTTTCTTACCTTGGTATTGTCTAATAGATAAGGTGTAGTCTGAAATTTTGTAACTTGTGTGGTTCAAAGTTTCCTTCAACACATTCTTTAGTCCTAATACCTATCCTATTGTCTACAATAAGGTAGGTATTAAGCTTGATCAAGTTAGAATAGCTTATTGGCAGATTTTTTTCTGTTTTTAACTGTTTATAGTAGTCAGTCAAAGTTTTGTCTCAAAAGTTTTGTCAGTTTGATTTGGGACAAAATGTTATATTTTGCGTCTTCATAAATGAAAATCTCTCACTTCTCCAATTAATTTTACAGATCGTTTTATGTTGAATAACGTTAAATAAATAAAGTATTTTTTAGTGATACAGCTTGTTCAATAAACTGTTTATAACCTTTTTAATGCAAAACTCTGTGCATCGACAAATAGAATCGTAAATCATTGGCTAGAAAATTTAATCCATATTCGGAAATTGAAGTATTAATATGCAATATAATGTGTCAATTTGTCTCCATGCCCAGCGGATAATCTCCATTAACCAGAAAATTAGGTTTCAAAATAGAAATCGTCCAAAGTAATCTTATCAAAACCTATAATCCGATTCGCGATACGTTGTACAAGGCGTTTTAAACATTTTAATTTTCATCCAATAGCAATTTCACTGTTAGTGTTACTTGTCCCCACAACGTTGTAAAAAATCGATTAAAGTTATAATAATAATTACTGTAATTATTCGTAATTATTCGCAACTTTCTCATCATATCAGTTATAGTTTTAAAAGAATTGTCCTGTCAATAATTAAGAAATTACTTTCAGTCATGAACGAACATTTTATCGGAATTCGTTTCGTCAACCATAAAGTTTTTTGTCGATCAAATATCATAGAAATCGTCATTTTGACGACAATAGGCGAATCGTTATTTCGGAGGTTGAAGTATATTTCTAGCTTGAGACGCACTGTTAATAGTTTTAATTTGATCTCCGCTACTGTAATCCTTTGTTCTGTAAGATCCAATATTCTATAACCCGATTATTACCACTCCTACGTGTCTTAGTTGGATATGTTAACGGTGCCCTAATGAGATTAAAGTGGACCTTTTTAACAACTTGTTGACTGAACGTTGTCTGTCTCACTGTTAAAAGTAAACTTTAAACCCTGTCATGAATCACCTATAGCCAATGGTTATTAAATTTTCGTCACATTATCAACAATTTTATTGGTGGCTGATGAGAAGTATTTGTAACATTATCAACTATTTTATTGGTGGCTGATGAGAAGTATTTGTAACATTATCAACTATTTTATTGGTGGCTGATGAGAAGTATTTGTAACATTATTAACTATTTTATTGGTGGCTGATGAGAAGTATTTGTAACATTATTAACTATTTTATTGGTGGCTGATGAGAAGTATTTGTAACATTATTAACTATTTTATTGGTGGCTGATGAGAAGTATTTGTAACATTATCAACTATTTTATTGGTGGCTGATGAGAAGTATTTGTAACATTATCAACTATTTTATTGGTGGCTGATGAGAAGTATTTGTAACATTATCAACTATTTTATTGGTGGCTGATGAGAAGTATTTGTAACATTATTAACTATTTTATTGGTGGTTGATGAGAAGTATTTGTAACATTATTAACTATTTTATTGGTGGCTGATGAGAAGTATTTGTAACATTATCAACTATTTTATTGGTGGCTGATGAGAAGTATTTGTAACATTATCAACTATTTTATTGGTGGCTGATGAGAAGTATTTGTAACATTATCAACTATTTTATTGGTGGCTGATGAGAAGTATTTGTAACATTATCAACTATTTTATTGGTGGCTGATGAGAAGTATTTGTAACATTATTAACTATTTTATTGGTGGCTGATGAGAAGTATTTGTAACATTATCAACTATTTTATTGGTGGCTGATGAGAAGTATTATCAAATATTCTACAAAGTATTTGTAACATTTAACCTCTAACCTCTAACCTCTACTCGGATAGGATGCTTGTATTACTACTGACGGTGTTCCTACTTAAAGTCACTCTCTGTTGGATAAATGACGACTCCAGACGGAGTGGGATGTTCAAAGAGAACCACACCAAAATTCATTGGTTCAGCGAAGGGGTAAGTGCAAAAATCTAATCATGGGGGTTCTATCATGGGGGTTCGACTCCCTATGTTTTCGTGATGCTATCTGATTTTATAACAGTTACTGTCACTTGCTAATTAAGAACATTTCCCGTCAAATGTCAGTAGAATTTAGATTTATGCAGGGATAATTTTCCCGCCGAGTCGAGGCTGTCATGTTGAAGCTCAAAGTTAAACAGTGGCTCTGTACTCCAAACATGTCAACAGTCTGTCGAGCAGAGGTGTCAACATTTCGTTACTCTGCTGCAAATGGTTTCCCAAACCTTATCAAACAATGGGACACTTCTCCGGAGGTGCTGAGGCAGAAACATTTTCACACCTTCCACAGAGTTCAGTCTTTGCGTTCTGATCATGAAGTGAGGATGAAGTGAACACTTCCTAGAATTACAGCCTGGCTCGTTCGATTTAACTTATGTGGAGGATAAGGCTCAAAAAATCTGTGTTTTGGAGTAACACCCTCTGGCTTTAAAACCCTGATGAGAGCTGGACATGGACACAAAATTTTATATGGTCTTAACACTCGGATGGAAATGATGTTAAAGATATTGGGGATCTTACGTAAATCAGAGCAGATGTAGTTCTGCAACTCCACATAGTATACAATGGATATTTTGTATTTCACGAAGTTGAGAAAGCGTTATGGCAATCTTACAAGAAAGCTTTACATAACTTTACTGGCCTTTACATTACATAACCGGGAGTTTAATTTAAAACTCAATACATTACACTGAATACTATCGAACATATTACTTTGATCTTTGCAACAAATTTATATCCATAGTTAAGTAAAGAAAGACACAAATATTAACAGGTTTTGTTCCTACAGGGTGACATGTATGTGACACTGAAGGACACGGAGACACTGTACTGTTTTCTAGAAGTGTACACTAGAGCAACGGTAAGGACCAAGTATTTTCTTAACAATTTGTTTAACAAGTATGAGTTTAACATCACCAATACCAAAAGAGGGTGGCAGTTCTGAATTCCCATTGCCCCCATTACGGAATATCTTGCTATAAGTATAGCTTCCTTCTTACCCTATATCCGTCTCGGACCAATTGATCAGGGGGAGAGATTTCTTTGCCGGGGTTTTTAATACGATCGCGGCTCTTAGGCGACCGGTTTCTCTGCTCTGCGGCATGACACATGGCCATGGAACTGTCAAGTGCGTCAATAGTCACGTCACAGTACTCATGAGCGGTGTCCCCCCTCTCGGCTACGGGAGGACCACTATCTAACAACATAACATCCACTAAATGAGCTTAGAATCTCCACAGCTGCTAATTTCAAATAACCCCTGCCAAGACTGCAACTGTCCACGGAAATTTCTTCTCTGCACTTTTTACCCCCCATCTCCGTCACCTTCCCTCCAGACAATTAGCTGACTAATCGGGGGTTGGATCAAGAAGACCTTTAAGGCGTTAACCGCCAAAGCAGTGCTAAGTTTGTGGATGTAAGGTCTGTTGCAGTCCCCCAGAGGGGTGGTATACCGTGATGTACGTACGGTGGTGGAGGAGGGCCCGGGAGACCTGTCCAAGTCGCCAACCTTGTCAAACCGCTGACAGTACTAGGTTTAAAAGGCAGTGTTGACGGCCAGTGCTTCTATATACTTCTAGAGTTATGAAGGTAGTGGCAAAGCTGGAGTGAAGAGTTTGTAGTGCTCTGTACTTTCCTCGAAAATTAGTCAGTGGAGGCTAACAATGGTTAGAGTGAAACATTTGGTTGCAATGACCCATTCGTTAGTCTGGCTGTCAAATTTAGGGGAATTAGGCAATGTTAAATAGTTCTTGGCTGAGTATTGAAAAGCACGAACAAAATTTTCTTTTCATCCAATGTTCTATGACTTCTGAAAACGTTAAGAAGATTGCTGCTTCACGATATTGATTTTTATGTCGATATCTGTCAAATACATCGTACTGTTAAGTAGTCAGTCACACAAGGACTCATTTTTCTAAAAAATGTTTAGTGTCAAAATGGTACTTCTCAGGCTAGCGTCAAGTTTAAACAATAGTGTCCATTTGGGTGTGAATTAAGGAAGTTTGCGGAGGAAGTTTGGGAAACAGATAGAGATGGTTGCTGAAGCGTTGAAAGCAAGGGGAGTGATACGGAGAGAATAAGCTTTGGTGGGAGTCCTTATGAAGGAAGATAGCGGGTGAACTTAGAGTCGGCAAGTCTAAGGGCCTTAGTTCCCCCCAACGGTACGTTTCTTGGGTGCTATGCGTTCTCAAGTGTATTGTCACGACATATAGCAGCGAAATCAGAAAATTCCTGCATTTCTTCTAAGTGCTACTTTTCGGAGACTAGATGCGAGGAAGTTAAACAAATGGTGTAAATGCGTCAAATAGTTGAGTCTAGTTGGTACAACTCGGTACGTAGAGGATACGGTGACAGCAAAAACTTTAAAACTTTCCACTTGGAACATTTACAAAATCTCTGCTACAGTTTTGATGGCACCAGCCCTCCTTTTCAATAAAAAACCCCCGATTTAAGGACGTTTTAATATCACGGAGCAACATACGGACATTTTGTCCCCCAAGATCCCGGAAAAACTTCCGCTTGATAAGATTAATTCGAACCAATTCGATACAACAATATAACGTGGTTTTCATTTCAGCCAGACGCCAGAAAGTTTCGCAAGCTGAGGGCTAGTCTAGGAACGGTGGCGGAGAGAGACACTGCCACACTCAGCTTGGTGGACCGCCACCTCGGCAAGCTCTGTCAAGATTCAGTCCTCCTTACTTCAGAAACAGAGTGGGAATATGTAACCAATGGGATAGGTCAGTAACCTCACATATTTTCTTGTTTAATATTTGTCTTGATTGCGTGTGGTTAATGGTTATAGTGGGGCCACTTCGATTCTAAGAATCATGGAGACCCGGGACTGTTTTCGTGGTTTTCCGCGTTCCACGAAAACCTCAACTGCACTAGCATGGTTGGGGTAAAATGACCAATCACTATAATTATTATTTTTTGATACATGCTCGGAACACCAAACATCAGATTTAAACTGATGGAGAGTCCAAGGAAATGCATAAAATGAAACTCAGGATGACTAGTCCGTGTCACACTAGGGAAAATAAAGCCTTACTTGGTTAGGAATTTTAGGATATCGAACTATCTCATCTCAAGTTTTTTGGGCTATATCGGGAAATGTCACTTGCAAGGTCAACATTTTGTTGTTTTAAACTTCATTTCTGAAAACCTCATACGTAGGTCAAGAGGTTTCTCTTCGACAAAAATATCCTAATGCAAGCCTTGCCATATAAGGTTCTGTAAAAATCATTCGGAAGACCCACTTTCAAAAAATTAAACCGCAGCAGGAATCATGAAAACATAGATTGAAGGATGGAAGCCCCTGTTAATTAAAGGTCTTTGAAGAGCTCCCATTTAGAGGTCTGGGAATATGTCCAAGAAAACTGACAAGACTCATTATGAGTTGAGCTTTAAACAATGTTAAGGTTACAAGAATGACTATATATATAGGACAAAAACGTTGGGGCTTTTCTGTCGATAACTCTCAAGGTACAATTTAAAAAGAAGTCCTACCACGTCACGTGTGCAACTATCTGGATCGTGAGAAAAAGAGTACCTGTCAAAGCCAATACACCCACGCCTATTAAAAGTTCACTATATGTCACTGCCAGTTGTTTTGATAGGTTCAATTACACATCAATGTCACTGTCACTTCTTTCAATAAGTGTATGCTGTTGATGGCTCAAGGCGAGACTGAACGTAAAACGGTAATGTTTTTAGTTTGATAGATGACAAGTGACGAGAAGATCACTTAGATGAGTTAATTATAAGAGTTCACTAAATTTGATAGAATAGTTTGGTGAGTTAATCAACAAATCCACAGAAAAGCAGATGATCAACACATAAATGACTGTGCTAGGTACTGCACATCACTGCGTCGTAGATTTTGAGGCTATGCAAGTTCAGAAGCCTATCAATTTGCTTTGTCAATTTTAATGTGTTCCTTTCTTCAGATCGAATGAGGAGGTTGGTGGAGACCAAAGTTGAGAAGAAGCGTAGGAGAAAAGGACGTCAAGGAGGAGGAAGTAAGAGGAAGAAGAAGTCGACAAAGAGATGCCCTGCAAAGAGGACTCCACAGTGCAGTGTGCTACATGAATGGCATGAGAAACACCTGCAATACCACCAGGTGATGGACGCTAAGCTTCTCAAACAAGTCAACGAGAGACCTTGCAGGTTAGATATATTTACCAAGTGCTAATAATTTTTTCTAGCTCTCTTTTTCTATGTTTTTTGCCTCACAGGAGATATTGTGGTCTTTCCTAAATGTAACTGTAATACATTGATGTAAAGTTTATTTGAATTTTGAAATGAAAATTGGTAAAAATGTGCTCGACATATGGGGACCCCGACCAGACGTTTCTAATGTACCGTTCGCTGTAGCATCTAAATCACGCCATTTTTCGCCCGTAAAATAGAACTTGTTTCCTGAAAATTTAAAATACCAGTGGTCCAAGAAACACACGTTTCAATGTAGTTGACCCCTAAGCTGTAACAAATCGTATGTCGATCGTGACGTGAATTCCGCCCAGATGTTTAAAAGTTACTAAATTTCTGTGGCAAAACTTACCTTTCCGCACGAATTGTGAGGTTAATTTGCGAAAATTGAGAAACCACAACCTTGATAGAATTCCAAAACAGCAAACTTAGAAATTGATGGACTGAAAATTCAGATGGATCGTTATATTTATCTGACTTTCCTCAAAATGTAACGACCTGATCCTCCGCAGATGCCGTCACAACACAGGAACCCGAATACCGTGCGGCAGTAAGATGTGCTTCAACAACGGCATCCAACAGCCGTGCGGCGTACGCTACTGCGACAACCTTGTTTTTGATTTCTGTGCCGAGAGTCGCACAGAATGTGTGCCTGAGAAACTGTTAGCCGACTATGTCATAGATAACCTGAAGCGCTGAACGGTGCACGTGTGACCGTGCGGCGCGACACGGCTTTTACCCTCCCAGCTGACTGCTCGGAAGTGTTGGTACGATTTGTTACGACGATGTTATTATGAGTTTGACAACAGTTAGTTGTTAAGTCTGACGACCGTGTAAAGAACGTAAAGACTGATCGTAGGCTCCGGAAGACGAGTGAGAGCCAATGTAAAGAATAAAAGAACTCTTAGGGTATAGGAATAGCAGCCAATTCTCAGAATCTAGCCCCGAATTCAGGACATGATATGCCTCTTTTTATTTATATCTAGGATAATCGTGTGAAAATCAGACTTCTAATGTAGTTCAGTTTCATAGGACTACTATGGATCGTTAATTATTGTCACAGTTTGCACATTTTTGTTCATTTACATTACGTCATGCAAGCATGAACTGACCATTCTGCCATTTGTTATACACTATGAATCGGATGTACCTCATGGGCCATTATTTGAAAGGTCTTAATTTCAATCGGTTCTTAAATTAGCGGAGGAATTTAGTTCAGCTTCAAACTTGCATTAATAATCAATCGAAAGATTATTAAAGTGTAACAGATCCTCAAATCTTATAAATATTTTATTCATTCACTTGATTGAGTACTGAGTAACACTAACGCTACATACAAATTTGGATTGATATTGTCGCCCTCTTCTTAGGTGAATTTAAATTGGAAGGCAAGGGTTTCAACTTTCAATTTTTAAGACCATTTGAATAAAGACCGATGAGGTACTGACTAATTTTCATAAGGGAAATTTTGCATAATTATGTTGTATATATATTTTAGAAGTTACATCCACCATCGGATAGTCTTAGTGAGACAGGAATGAAATCTTAAAGCTTGTTTCTTCACTTTATATTTGTTTAATTTTGATATAAACGGCTGAAGAGAACTTCTCGGATTCTCAAGTTGAGCGCTGGAACGTAGATTTGATTAACGAGTTGAACGTTGTGAACTTGTTTAAGGAAACGTTAAACTATTAATTTAAGAAGGGTGCCCAAACACAGCCTACTTCATTGTCATTTCACCCCCTGAAAGGACGCAGCAATATATTCATACCCACCTCACCAACCCTAAATGCCTTCTATTTTTAACGAAACGCCCCCATAATTACGTGATATTATGTGATTAATTTTGTTTAATTGTTTGGGCACCTTAACACATTTTCAATGATTTTATTGAAGCTAAGTTAACTTTTTACTAACCTTTATGTATTTGATGGCTTTCTTACGATAGCCAAACTTACGATAGAAACTGAGATTTAAAACGGGGCCTCAAACAGAAATACAGCACTGAAACAGCCAAGTAAGTGTTGTATAAAAGCTGTTATCGAGGCCCAATTAAGTCTCTTTGATAAGAGTCACGCCCTGTTGACTAATAGTATTACTGAAAACAGGTGCCGAAATTGACACCTAGCTGGACTTGTATATCAGTCCTAAAGTGCTTACCAATCTTATCGAGTCAGCGATTCGTTTTTATTGAGAAGTTTTGATGTTAAATTTGTTTGAACCTTTTATGTAATTGGAATCTTTGACGTTTTTATTGATATCATCAAAGATCAATTAGCAGCAAAATTCAACGCCTTTGCTTTAATGCGTTACCTGATCACTGTTATAAAAGGACAAGAGTTGCAGATTGGCTTCAGAAACGCAACCAAGCATTTTCCTAATCGACATTTTGGATCATTTGAATCGGGATGACAGATCATTAAGCCAAAAATACAGTCAGATGTTTTAGGAACGTTAGAATTTAGATCAAGTCTGTTATGTCGGCAGGAGAAGAACAATTATAATTATATGTTTGTGAGGACAACGGCGATAACATCTTCAGAGATGTGGCAATCTTTGTTTCAGCTTCTTATGTAGGTGCTAATTACGGACAAGTTCGTAATTCATACTATACGGTAGAGCAAGATTATTGCAACACTTTGAACGGATAAGATGGGAATATCTGTTGGTAGGCGTTTGAATTTAATCCTGGAAATAATCATGACGTTATATCATAATCTATAATGCCGCATTACTATACCAATGAAAGGCTACATTGAATGCAAAAAACGAATCCTAAAGTGTGATGATTTCATAGATAAATGAAAATTTAGTCAGCTTGAAATAATTGAAATTGTTTCTGGGACGATAAATTCTCGAGCGCTCCAGCTACTCAACGTGCAAACATTCCTCATTACTAATTGTTGTACACAGGACCCACCCCTGCAATGATCTGTTGTTGTATAGACTGATGGGGAATGCAAAGAAAAGCTAACAGCAAAATATGGCTTCCTAATGAATTCGCAACATTTTTTGCATACAAGACTTAGTTTCGTGAAAATTACGGCCATAATATCCATAAATTCTGCTACGTAAATCACATCCACGAAATGCCTGTAAATTAAGACAAATGGTGTTGCTAAGAGTAAGTACAAATAGTACTTAATTTACAAATTTCATTCATTATTATTTGGAGTCTTTTACTTTTAGTATATATCGATTGTTGCTTGAAAAGGTTTGCTAAAAGTAAAAATCACTGCAGCAGTTGAAAGAAAAGTGTATTACTTTAGAAATAAAGTTACATCATACAATATAAGTTATAACACAACATGAAATTGATTACTGTATTGAAACCCCACCCATATCAGCGATTCACACCATCGAAGCAACAAATTACCGAATTGTCGGACGTATCGTGTTACGCCACAAATTTAACAATAACAAAATTAGAAAGACAAAATTCCTGTCCACCTTGGTCGATTCATTCATAGACTGAAACCAGTTTCGTCGCAGCGCTTTTTTTCATTTATCATCATCACAAACGAGCAAACGAAACTGATCAAGTTTCAATCCTGTATCTTCTTGTAGGACGTCAGGAAAACTAGCTTGTGAAGTCGTCCTTGTGATAAAGTAGGCCATAAGATGGGTTTGAGATAAAGAAGCTGTTGAGTAGGTTAGTCCAGTTAGTAGACTTGTTCTGGAAGATGAAGTCTTCGTGTCTTTATGGTACCTGTCTACGGTGGGACATTGTATGGAATTTCCGATTCCAAGAGATGTCAAAGGCCATTTGAGCATTCTTGTAAAAGCACCGTTCAGTGCTTTTAGTTTTATAGTCGTGGCCTTCTTAAGCATTAAGAGTCTGCGTTTCAGCGCCGTACAGAAGAACGGATTCAACTGCGGTTTTGAAAATGTTCGTCTTGATCTTCCTCTAAATGTTAGAATTCCAGATACCATCCAGACTCTGCATGCTTTTTAGGCAAGGCCGTTCATAAATATTGATGTGTGCTAGTTGAAGTTATGTAGGATCCAAGGTATTTGAAGTCGTACACTTCTTCTTGAGGTTTGCCGATCACGAAGACCCTCTCATCTGATTTGACAAGCTTCAACGCAGTACTTTTTACCGAAAATGTAAAGGAAAAATGTCATTGTAATCTTTGACAAATTGAACTACTCAATAGTTGGACTTATTTCGATATGTGTTACGAACCAATGAACATTACTCTGGATGTCACCCTTAAGGTTTGCTTTGGCTTATGAGTTTTAGAATAGGAAAGGTCGAAATCCATTTATTTAACTCATTAATATCTTACCTGGATTCTAAAGATTTAAGCTTAATAACAAACGTTGAAGAATTTCTAAAACTTAGATTCTTAGAGAATTTGTAAAGAAAAAGGACAATTGGCGAGCACTTTTCATTACGTAATACTTAGGTGACTTGTTGGTTTAATCTTATTATGCTTCATTGATGATATAGAGCAGAGCAGAGTAAGTTTATTATTAGTTTATACTATTAATGGAAAATATATTCACAAGTTGTAGAACAGCGTCGGTGGTTGAGTGGTACAATTCTCGCCTGCCACGCGGGAGGCCCGGGTTCGATTCCCGGCCGACGCAGTACTTTTTACTGCAAATTAATAGAACTATTTGTTATCACTATTATTATCACAACACACAATAATAAATAAACAAATGTCTTGTAACATGCATTTGGTCTGATTGATGTCAGAGACGCTTTGGCATAGACGGCTGTCGGTTACTGTAGCTGTGTTGTCGTGTATTACTTTAGAAATAAAGTTACATCATACAATATAAGTTATAACACAACATGAAATTGATTACTGTATTGAAACCCCACCCATATCAGCGATTCACACCATCGAAGCAACAAATTACCGAATTGTCGGACGTATCGTGTTACGCCACAAATTTAACAATAACAAAATTAGAAAGACAAAATTCCTGTCCACCTTGGTCGATTCATTCATAGACTGAAACCAGTTTCGTCGCAGCGCTTTTTTTCATTTATCACCATCACAAACGAGCAAACGAAACTGATCAAGTTTCAATCCTGTATCTTCTTGTAGGACGTCAGGAAAACTAGCTTGTGAAGTCGTCCTTGTGATAAAGTAGGCCATAAGATGGGTTTGAGATAAAGAAGCTGTTGAGTAGGTACTTTTTACTGCAAATTAATAGAAATATTTGTTATCACTATTATTATCACAACACACAATAATAAATAAACAAATGTCTTGTAACATGTATTTGGTCTGATTGATGTCAGAGACGCTTTGGCATAGACGGCTGTCGGTTACTATAAATATCTCCGGGATTTCGACGCGGGATCATATTATCACTCAGCCCGGCCCGCTGTTAGATAAACATCTCAAGGTGATAACATCCCGCCCCGGAAATTTGTATAAACCCGGCCCGCTTTTTAGTCGTAACTGATGTTTATCATTCAATTCTCCGACTTACAATAATCAATGATACTGCTGATTAGAACTCGATAATAGTAGAACAGTTAGACGCGCGATCACGTGGGCGCGTCACGTGCGTACCACGTGCCACCAATAGCATACGCCGAGTCTATACCACGTGACACGAAAGCGCACCACGTGATATGAAACATCGTAACCGTCCACTTCTTTTACACGCAAATTCCTGGGAACGTTGCCAAAGCAGCTAATTCTTGGAATTTCTCCAACGCGTGGCGTGAGAAGTTGGCGACTAGCCAGCTACCCTTGTCCGTGCCCTAAAAATAGTATTGTTTTGCTTGCTCTCCTTCCAGCTCTTGTTCCTGCTAACGTTCAAGCTATTGCTCCACTATGACAGATCGGTTTGACATTCAGATTGATGAACTGCTTTCCAATCGTGTTCCTGCTTTCGACAATCCCTTGTCGAAATCGCCGGAGATAATTATAATCCATAAACACTTCACGCTCAGGGCTAAATAAATGTAATCCCTCAGCTGGCGCTTCGGGATTACATATTAACACAAAACTCGTGCGCTGCGCGCACTCGTATGTGTTTATCAGATCATCCCGCTAGCGCGGGATGATCTGTTATATAAACCCTTTGCGTGGCGGGTTTATGTTATTGTAGCTGTGTTGTCGTTACCTTGTACCTGGGGACCTCCGGCTTTTGTGTTCATGAAAACAAATTGAAGATATGGTGGAATGAAAGGCTGAGCGCCGCCCAGTAATGTCGTTGGCGAAATTCAAATTGATTGTTGTTAGTGCCAACTTTGAAGCCATTGTGAAGCCCTATTGGTGTAAGGTGTTGCTAATTGCTAATCGAAGAATGAAGTCAAGGACGATTGTGTAAATGATATAAATGGAGAGAGGTCGTCGCCAAGATAATAGAACATAGAACATAGAACATAGAACATAGAACATAGAACATAGAACATAGAACATAGAACATAGAACATAGAACATAGAACATAGAACATAGAACATAGAACATAGAACATAGAACATAGAACGTACAACGTACAACGTACAACGTACAACGTACAACATACAACATACAACATATAACATACAACATACAACATACAACATACAACATACAACATACAACATACAACATACAACATACAACATACAACATACAACATACAACATACAACATAGAACATAGAACATAGAACATAGAACATAGAACATAGAACATAGAACATAGAACATAGAACATAGAACATACAACATACAACATACAACATACAACATACAACATACAACATACAACATACAACATACAACATACAACATACAACATACAACATACAACATACAACATACAACATACAACATACAACATACAACATACAACATACAACATACAACATACAACATACAACATACAACATACAACATACAACATACAACATACAACATACAACATACAACATACAACATACAACATGCTTTTCTCAGGATGATGATTGATCATTCTACACTCGACTGTCACGTGACTTTTTCGACCCGTTCTCTAGCTGGCCCTGAACGACTTTTCGAAACTCTGACCATCTAGTCTGATCCCAACCCTAACCCTAACCCAATCCTTAACAAAAGCATATGCTGAAACCCTAACCCTAACGAGAAATTAGACTAACTTCTTAGCTTTATATAATACGGTCATATCACGTGATCGAGACTTTTTTTCGCCAATATCTCGTCAGGGGAGCATTTTAACCCTATGTCATGGGAGGTGATTCGGAATCAGCGTCCGAAAATACATCGATGGAAGTTG